ATTGATAAATTGCTGTTAATTTCTTCGTGCTTATTGCGAGACTGAGTGCAAAATGTATCTTAAAAAAAAAAAAAAAAAAAAAAAAAAAAAAAAAAAAAAAAAAAAAAACGGGGATATCCTAATTTTGTGTAGAATTAAAAAATGCTTTAGATGAATTTGTTATCATAAGTCGAATATATACCCTATGGGACATTGAAGAGACTACTAATTTCTTAATATACGAAGGTAACCGGTATGGGTCTATTTACGATAAACTGAATGTTCAGGCGAGCCGTTGAGATTAGCCGAACGAACGTCGAGAAAATATATTTTACTTGAATCTTCTCATTATTTTAACGCACATTACTCACACACACTCACACACACACACACACAGGCACACACACACACACGCACGGGACGACACACACACACACACACACACACACACACACACACACACACTCACGTCAACAACACACACACAACACACACACACACACACACACACACACACACACACACACACACACACACACACACACACACACACACACACACACATGTATATATAAACCTATGCGTATATACATATATATATAATATATATATATATTATATATATTATATTTGTATATATATATGTATGTATATTATATATATTTATGCTTTGCCATTTTGCTATGCAGAATATTGTATTGTTACTATTTGTAGGGAGCAACATTTTGTAATAAAATTGATTTTGAATAATGTGTTTTCCTTTCAGATGAAGACTGGATAACCTTCGGGATATTTGTTTAAAAGGCTGTTATATATATATATATATATATATATATATATATATATGTATATATATATATATATATATGTGGAATATTTATATATTCATATATTTATATACACACACACACACACAACACACACACACACACACATACACACACACACACACATTGTCCAATACCCATAAGGAATGAATGCTAAACAGGTTAAAAATACACAGTGGAAATCCTTTTGGTAAGGTGAAGAATACTGATAGGTTATGGGCAGAGTAAGGAATCGTTATACGAATTACTTTTAACTTCTCTTTTTATCATATAGATGAAATATTTCCATTCCTAACATTGGGTAACCAAAAGACAAGTCAAAGCATGTAAAAAGGCAAGACCGAAAAATGTATTGTTTACCTTTTTTGGCGGTCTTTTTAAAAAAGCTCTTTCCCTTTTTGACTGTCTCTGTCAAATTAATATTCTTTTTACTATGCAGGGCGTAACACACTCCAATATCATAAATTTGTGCATATATTTCAACCTTCGGAAGAAATGAAAAAAATATTTTTAATAAGGCATTGTAAAAACACAATGGTCGTTTTGGTTTTTGTGTTCGTGTTTACTTTGCAGACGTTCGGGAGCAATATTAGACACTGTACGTTCCCTATTTATGAAATATTGTACATTGATTTACATTATAATTCAATGCATTATTGTTTCATAAATCGTGGGCCGCTTATGCCAACGCCGGCGTTTAGTGGTAGTAAAGAATGATATATGTGTGTGTGTGTGTGTGTGTGTGTGTGTGTGTGTTGTGTGTGTGTGAGAGAGAGAGAGAGAGAGAGAGAGAGAGAGAGAGAGAGAGAGAGAGAGAGAGAGAGAGAGAGAGAGAGAGAGAGAGAGAGAGAGAGAGAGAGAGCGTGTGCGCGTTTTATAAACACATACACAAATGTAGTGTCAAGTACGGGTTGTACAATTGTCCAAGTACAAAGCGAACGACCATCTTGCGCCATAACTTCTGTGCAACCGTAAAAAAAAAAAAAAAAAAAAAAAAAAAAAAAAAAAAGCCTTTAGTTGGCCAAATGTAACATTAAAGTGAAGGAGTAGAGGAAGCCTTAACCCCCCCCCTCCCCTCCCTCCGCTCTCCATCGCATACTCTTGAAATCCTTGGAGTTGACGCCTATGCAGACCTAGATAACACGTGTTAAAAAGCCCAACATGAAAAGCCGAAAGAAAGAAAGAAGAAGAAGAGAAAAAAAAAAAAAAGAAAAAAAATATAATAATAATAATAATAATAATAATAATAATAATAATAATAATAATAATAATAATAATAATAATAATAATAATAATAATAATAATAATAATAATAATAATAATAAATAATAAATAAAGAATTAAATAAGTAAAAAATAAATAGATAAATAAAAATAAATGAAAAATAACGCCATTGCAGCAGCTAGCACGGTTTAGGGCCATAACGTTTGAATTATAAACCAAAGTAACAAGAAAAATAAAATGATAAAATCCCAAAATGGTAGAAACATCCGTCAGCCATATTGTTCCCGCAGAGAAGCGAGACGAAAAAAACAACAACAAAAAACGCGGCAACAGCTTTCACGATTTTTGAGCCACAATTAACGTTTGGATTATAAACCAAAGTAACAAGTAAGATAAAATAATATCTCCAAATGGTAGAAACATCCTTCAGCCATATTGTTCCCGTAGAGAAACGAGACTCGGAAAAAAAA